AATCTACCCTGAGAGCTTCCACTGTGGGGCAGTATAAAATTTAATTAAAACATGCATAATCAAAAAGCATAGCTTTTGTTTTATCCCACCCTTTTTTAAAACTCTAATTTACATAGATGTGGGAAACCATCTGGAATTAAGGGGATGCTCTTCAGATTTGCTGATGGTGCAAAATTAGGTGGGGTATCTGATACCTGATAAGATAGAAAGAGGATTTGAATTTCAGTGGAGATAAATGTAATATTCTGCATTGAGGTAGGAACACTGAGTTGCACAGATACATGATGGATGACACCTGATTTGATGTGAGAAAAACTTCTAGTAAACAAAAGTCTTAAACAGAGTTAGCAATTAAAAAGACCAGTGCAGTTTTACATTGCAGGATCACGATAGGTAATGATAACCCTTTATTCTGCTTTAGTCAGACATCAGCCAAGGCACTTTGTCCAATTTGGGAAGTGCAGTTCAAAGAGGATATTGACAAACTGGATATGTCCAGATAATAATTATAAAGATGGTGAGTGGCTTGGAAATCAGGTCCTAGAAGAAAAGTTGAAGGAGTTAGGTATGCTGAACCTGGAGAAAATTGAGAGGTAATCTGATAGCAATCTTCAAATATTTGAATAGATGTCACATAAGTGCAGTAGTCATTATGTTTTCTATTGTTCCAGAGGATGTTGTTGTTGTTGTTAGTTGCGAAGTCGTGTCCGATGCATTGCGACCCCATGGACAACATTCCTCCAGGCCTTCCTGTCCTCCACCATCCCCCGGAGTCCACTTAGCTCACGCCCACTGTTTCAGTGACTCCATCTAGCCACCTCATCCTCTGCCGTCCCCTTCTTCTTTTGCCATCTATTGTTCCCAGTATTAGGCTCTTCTCCAGGGAGTCCTTCCTTCTCATTAGGTGGCCAAAGAATTTGAGTTTCATCTTCAGGATCTGGCCTTCTAAAGAGCAGTCAGGGTTGATCTCTAGGACTGACCAGTTTGATCACCTTGCAGTCCAAGGGACTCGCAGGAGTCTCCTCCAGCACCACAATTCAAAGGCCTCAATCCTTTGGGGCTCAGGCTTCCTTATGGTCCAGGTTTCACAGCCATGCATTGCAACTGGGAAAACCATAGCCTTGACTAGACGCACTTTTGTTGGCAGGGTGAAGTCTCTGCTTTTTAGTATGCTGTCTAGATTTGCCATAGCTTTCCTTTGAAGGAGCAAGCCTCTTTTAATTTCTTGGCTGCAGTCCCCATCTGCAGTGATCTTGGAGCCCAGGAAAATAAAATCTGTCACTACCTCCATTTCTTTCCCACCTATTTGACAGGAAGTGATAGGACAAGATGCCATGATCTAAGTCTTCTTAATGTTGAGTTTCAAGCCAACTTTTGGACTTTCCTTCTTCACCCGCATCAAGAGGCTCTTTAGTTCCTCTTCACTTTCTGCCATTAGAGTGGTATCGTCTGCATTTGTTTCTCAGGAGACAAATAAGGTGGTCTGGTACTCCCATCTCTTTAAAAACTTGCCACAATTTGTTGTGATCCACACAATCAAAGGCTTTAGTATAGTCAATGAAGCAGGAGTAGATGTTTTTCTGGAACTCCCTAGCTTTCTCCATGATCCAGCATATGTTGGCAATTTGATCTCTAGTTCCTCTCCCTCTTCGAAATCCTGCCTATACTTCTGGTAATTCTCGGTCCACATACTGCTGGAGCCTAGCTTGTAGGATTTTGAGCATAACTTTGCTAGCATGTGAAATGAGTGCAATGGTGCAGTAGTTTGAACATTCTTTGGCATGCCCTTCTTTGGGATTGGAATGTAAACTGATCGTTTCCAATCCTGCGGCCACTGTTGAGTTTTCCAGATTTGCTGGCATATTGAGTGTAGTACTTTTATTGCATCGTCTTTTAAGATTCTGAATAGCTAGCTGGAATACTGTCACCTCCAGTAGCTTTGTTGTTGCTCAGACTTCCTATGGCCCATTTGACTTCACATTCCAGGGTGTCTGGCTTGAGGTCAGTGACCACGCCGTTGTGGTTATCAGGGATGTAAAGCTCTTTCTTGTATAGTTCTTCTGTGAAATATTGTCACCTCTTCTTAATCTCTTCTGCCTCTGTTAGGTCCCTGCCATTTTGGTCCTTTATCATGCCCATCATTGAATGAAACGTTCCCTTCATATATCCAGTTTTCTTGAAGAGATCTCTGGTCCTCTGTATTCTATGGTTTTCTTCTATTTCTTTGCACTGTTCATTTAAGAAGGCATTCTTATCTGTTCTAGCTATTCTCTGGAATTCTGCATTCAGTTGGGTATATCTTTTCCTTTCTCCCTTGCCTTTTGCTTCCCTTCTTTCCTCAGCTATTTGTGAAGCTTCCTCAGACAGCCATTCTGCTTTCTTGCATTTCTTTTTCTTTGGGATGGCTTTAGTTGCTACCTCTTATACAATGTTGCGAACCTCCAACCATAGTTCTTCAGGTACTCTGTTTATTAGATCTAATTCCTTAAATCTATTTGTCACCTCTACTGTATATTCATCAGGGATATGATTTAGGTCATACCTGATTGGCCTAGTGCTTTTCCCTACTTTCTTCAATTTAAGCCTAAATTTTGCAACAAGAAACTCATGATCTGAGCCACAGTCAGCTCCTGGTCTAGTTTTTACTGACTGTATAGAACTTCTCCATCTTTGGCTGCAGAGCACATAGTCAATCTGATTTCTGTGTTGACCGTCTGGTGATGTCCATGTGTAGAGTCGTCTCTTGGGTTGTTGGAAAAGAGTGTTTGCTATGACCATCGTATTCTCTTGACAAAATTCTACCAGCCTGTGCCCTGCTTCATTTTGTACGCCAATGCCAAACTTGCCTGTTATTCCAGTTATCTTTTGGCTTCCTACTTTAGCATTTTCCTTGGATTCAAACTGAGATCATTCTGTCATTTTGGAGGTTGTATCCCAGTACTGCTTTTCCTACTCTTTTATTGACTATGAAGGCTACTCCATTTCTTCTGAGGGATTCTTGCCCACAGTAGTATACCTGATGGTCATCCCAGTTAAATTCACCCATTCCTGTGCATTTTAGTTCACTGATTCCTAAGATGTCAATGTTCAGTCTTGTCCTCTCTTGTTTGACCACATCCAGCTTGCCTTGATTCATGGATCTTATATTCCAGGTTCCTATGGAGTATAGATCTTTGCAGCATCGGACTTTCCTTTTACCACCAAATACATCTGCAACTGAGTGTCCTTTTGGCTTTGACCAAGTTGCTTCATTCTTTCTGGCACTACTAGTACAAGCCCTCTGCTCTTCCCCTGTAGCATATTGGACACCTTCCGACCTGAGGGGCTCATCTTCCGGCGTCATATCTTTTTGCCTTTTGGTACTGTGCATGGGGTTTTCATGGCAAGGATGCTGGAGTGGGTTGCCATTTCCTTGTCCAGTGAATCACGTTTTGTCAGAGCTCTCTGCTATGACCTGTCCGTCTTGGGTGGCCCTGCACGGCATAGCTCATAACTTCATTGAGCTATGCAAGCCCCTTTGCCATGACAAAACAGTGATCCATGAAGGAGTTCCAGAGGATAGGACCGAAGAAAAAGGATTTAGTTTAAATAGAAGACCTTCCTGATGGTGTGAACTATTTGGCAGTCTTTGGGAGTATCTTAAATTTTTACTAAGATCTTATTTTTAGAGAGCAATCCTCAAAGATGGCAATGAGTATGTCTAATATCCCAGTCTCAAAAAATAATGAATCTGTCCATTTTTAAAGAAATACTACTTTCAATAGGTGATACTTGTAGCACACTGTCTGGCTTAGAAATTGTGAATTCCTCCCTTATGACAAATTTGGCAAAACAAATGAAATTTTTATTGCATTTATTTCAAGTTATTTAATGTCTGTATAAAAGAATTATTGAAGAAAGAGATGCCATAAACCTTGTAACCTAATGCTTGCAGTCATTTGGGATCAGTGGAATGTATCTAAGAAACTGTCAGTCAGGTTGTTTGTTTTTTGGAGATAAGCAAAATAAAATATGAGACAAATGGATAACAATATTCATACTTCTTACATTTTGGTAACAGTAACATCCTGTACATGATCCCCACAGCTGAATGTATAAGTAAATTGATTAGTAATCTTTTCAAATTTTCCAGGATCTAGAATTTTGAGATCTCATTTAAGATCAAGGAAAAAATAAGAGCCTAGCTATTTATTCTCCTTTCTGTGGTGATGCCAAGGCTGCCAGTTGATGATGTTTACTTGAGCATTAATTCTACTTACACTTCTGTAGGCCTTCACATGCATGTATTTATCTAGGTCAGTTCCTTATTTAACTGTGAAGAATATGTGGTCAAGCAGTCCCTTGTCTTTTGTAAAATCAATGTAGTGATTTCTTTTCTGTGTATGAGCACAGACACCAATCCCTTTATGTGAAGGTGCTACAGATTACACCTGATGTTAGCAAGGGAGCTCTTTCATGTTCAACACCCTAACAGTTTGCTTGAGCATAGCTTCTGCTAGGCATGTAAATAGGTGCTGTAGCTTATGCTAGCCTTCCCCCTCCCCGTCCCGCTTTCTGTATTAATGTAGAAACCCCGTAATGTCTAATGGCTAAAGGAGTTTCAGCACTTACTCTCTAAAAAATCCTTTGAGGTTACAAAGGCACCCATTGAGCAGCTTATCATGTGCCTGCCTTTCCATGCCTAGATAAGGAACATCTGATTATTCAGTACAACAAGATAAGAAATCAATTGAAGTTGCTTCAGTATAGTAACCAAATGTTAAACCTTTAAATTTTTCTAGGTGTTTGTTTTGTGTTGTAATACTAACAAAATCACTCACATCTTATGAAGTCATGTTCATTTCTCATGCTGCTTAAGTATGTATACCCTGTTTTGCAGTTATTTTTTACACAAGTATCTTACTGAGATGGAAAATTGCCACAAATATTTGAGTACGTATACATGGGATTTTGATTACTTAATGTTTTGTGACTTCCTCTCTTCTTTTTGTTCTGCACAGATGATCGTGTGGTTGGAGAAAATGCTAGATAAAATTATTAGCATATTCATTATATTTCTGCTAGTAATAGGCACCCTCCTGCTTGCCCTACTCCTTACTGCAAAGGTACTGTGTCCAATTAAGCAGTATTACTGTTTGATTCACAAAAGTTAATGTTTAATGCTTATTACTTAAGACTGTAATAAACGGATATCAGTATAAAAGTGCAAAATGTAATTTGAGCACTATTGTTATTGTTAGTTGTGAAGTCATGTCCGACCCATCGTGACCCCATGGACAACATTCCTTCAGGCCTTCCTGTCCACTACCATCCCCCAGAGTCCACTTAAGCTCACGCCCACTGTTTCAGTGACTCCATCTAGCCACCTCATCCTCTGCCGTCCCCTTCTTCTTTTGCCATCTATTGTTCCCAGCATTAGGGTCTTCTCCAGGGAGTCCTTCCTTCTCTTTAGGTGGCCAAAGTATTTGAGTTTCATCTTCAGTATCTGGCCTTCTAAAGAGCAGTCAGGGTTGATCTCCTCTAGGACTGACCAGTTTGATCGCCTTGCAGTTCAAGGGACTCTCAGGAGTCTCCTCCAGCACCACAATTCAAAGGCCCTAGTTCTTCGGCGCTCAGGCTTCCTTATGGTCCAGGTTTTACAGCCATACATTGCAACTGGGAAAACCATAGCCTTGCCTATACACACTTTTGTTGGCAGGGTGATGTCTCTGCTTTTTAGTATGCTGTCTAGATTTGCCATAGCTTTCCTTCGAAGGAGCAAGCCTCTTTTAATTTCTTGGCTGCAGTCCCCATCTGCAGTGATCTTGGAGCCCAGGAAAATAAAATCTGTCACTACTTCCATTTCTTCCCCATCTATATGGCAGGAAGTGAGAGGACCGGATGCCATGATCTTAGTTTTCTTAATGTTGAGTTTCAAGCCAACTTTTGTACTCTCCTCCCTCACCTGCATCAAGAGGCTCTTTAGTTCCTCTTCACTTTCTGCCATTAGAGTGGTATCATCTGCATATCTGAGGATGTTGATATTTCTTCCAGCAATCTTAATTCCAACTTGTGAATCATCTAACCCCGCCTATCTTATAAGGTGCACTGCATATAAGTTAAATAGGCAGGGCCACAGTATACAGCCTTGCCAAACTCCTTTCTCAATTTTGAACCAATCAATTTTGAACCAATCCGTGACCAGTTCTCACTGTTACTTCTTGATCCACATATAGGTTTCTCAGGAGACAAATAAGGTGGTCTGGTACTCCCATCTCTTTAAGAACTTGCCACAATTTGCTGTGATCCACACAATCAAAGGCTTTAGCATAGTCAATGAAGCAGAAGTAGATGTTTTTCTGGAACTCCCTAGCTTTCTCCATGATTCAGCGTATGTTGGCAATTTGATCTCTAGTGCCTCTCCCTCTTCGAAATCCTGCCTATACTTCTGGTAATTCTCGGTCCACATACTGCTGGAGCCTAGCTTGTAGGATTTTGAGCATAACTTTGCTAGCATGTGAAATGAGTGCAATGGTGCGGTAGTTTGAACATTCTTTGGCATTGCCCTTCTTTGGGATTAGAATGTAAACTGACCTTTTCATTTGGTGTTAATTCTAGAAGGTGTTATAGGCCTTCATAGAACCGGTCTACTTCAGCCTCTTCAGTGCCAGGGGTTGAGGCATAGACTTGGACTACTGTGATGTTGAATGGTTTTCCTTGGATTCGAACTGAGAGCATTCTGTCATTTTGGAGATTGTATCCCAGTACTGCTTTTCCTACTCTTTTATTGACTATGAAGGCTACTTCATTGTTTCGGAGGGATTCTTGCCCACAGTAGTATACCTGATGGTCATTTGAATTAAATTCGCCCATGCCTGTCCATTTTAGTTCACTGATTCCTAAGATGGCCATGTTCAGTCTTGTCATCTCTTGTTTGACCACATCCAGCTTGCCTTGATTCATGGATCTTACATTCCAGGTTCCTATGGAGTATAGATCTTTACAGTATCGGAGTTTCCTTTCACCACCAGATACATCTGCAACTGAGTGTCCTTTCAGCTCTGACCCAGTTGCTTCTTTCTGGTGCTACTAGAACTAGCCCTCTGCTCTTCCCCTGTAGCATATTGGACACCTCCCAACCTGAGGGGCTCATCTTCCGGCGTCATATCTTTTTGCCTTTTGGTACTGTCCTTGGGGTTTTCATGGCAAAGATACTGGAGTGGGTTGCCATTTCCTTGTCCAGTGGATCATGTTTTGTCAGAGCTCTCTGCTATGACCTGTCTGTCTTGGGTGGCCCTGCACAGCATAGCTCATAGATTTATTGAGCTATGCAAGCCCGTTCACCACGACAAGGCAGTGATCCATGAAGGGGTTGAGCACTATTATTAGTACTAAAATATTGCCAAGGATAAACTCAGCTAAAGTGGATAAACTAATAAAGATAATTAATGGAATAGTGCTGCTGAAGGGCAACTGTTCTGATATAGAAGTATTATTATTATTGATTATGAAAAGCAATTATAAAACACCTAATATTGTCTAAATGTTGGCAACATACAGGTATGTGAGGGGATGTCACACAAGGGTGAGTAGAGACTTGTTCTCCCCTGTAGAGGAAGGCAGGCAGGACACGCTCCAATGGAACAAAGCTCAGGGAACCAAGGTTCTATTTAGATGCCAGGAAGCGCTTCCATCTTTTGACAGTTAGGACCCCCAGGGTGTGGAATGGGCTTCCATGGGAGGTGGTTGAGGCCCCATCGGTGAGGGTATTCAAAGATAAGCTGGACATGCACATGGTGGGCATGTCATGAGTGGAGCCGGCTGGAGCCGGGGGTCATACTAGATGGCCCGGGAGGCCCCTTCTGACTTGCTCAATTTCTATGTTTCTATGTTAGATACTATACATATACTGAAAAACAAGGCAATCCCAGTCCACTGTCTGGTATAATAGGCATGATACAAAAGAAAAAAAATGTTTGGCATAGGACTTTCATACATCCTTTATATATACATTTTTGTAAACCTATGAAGGTATAGTTCTTCTCCTTCGAGAATGAATACCAATTTGCCAAAGCATCCAGGGCAAAACTACCAATCATCCTCAATCCTACCCCTCCCCCCCAAAAGAAGACTGAGGGTTTATTAAAACCAAATATTACAGATGATACCTCTTTTTTTCCCTTCATTGCATTTCTATTCATTTGGAGCGAGAGGCATGCAATGTTGCATTAATTTCATTCACATTTCTCCTCTTTGTGTTGACTTTAGGTGCATCAAGAAAGTGTGCACATGATTGAAGTTACAAGCAGCTTGATTAATGAAACTGTAGCCAATCACCCAGAATGGGCCAAGTAAGAACACTGAAGTAATGTGATACGGTTGGAAAGGATAATCCTCTGCCATACCCTGTAGCATATGAATGTTCTTTTAATCTTGGCACTGAGGTCCACAGTGGTGCTTGGCAGTGGCAAGTGATCCTTTAATTTGATAAGTACATTTGTGGTGTACACTGAGAGTAAGATAGGGAGTAATCTTTGACCTCACAGTGAATGTTACAGGTTCTCCAAAGCAGCAAGCCATTGGTTGGATGAGGGTGAAAGCTGCTGAAAAGAAAGGTGCGATAAGGACTCTCCTTCTCCATTCCAATATCCTTTATGCAAGGTTTGCCACTGCTTCAGTGGAGCAGTTCAAATATCATTAATGTGTTGTAAGCCTCCTAGGAAGGCCTTAGTAGTTATTGGTGGCCTATAAATATATGTATAAATAAATAAATATCATAGCAGCATTTATGGGCAAATCTTGGATTAGTTAGTTAATCCATGCTTTGCAGGGTTAATCTAAAATTAAGTTATGATTTATTCTTAAATTATCATTGGGTTGGGTAACCAAGTTCAGATGTCACACTGAGAGCCTACAGATGAGGTGTTTGTGGGTTGCAAACTGCAAAATAGAAGCAGCTTAGGTGTGTCTGCACAGATTGGGATCTCATAAATATCTGGCAGGGCTAAATCATGCAGAGGTGGCCCGACTCTACTTGATCATGTTAAAATGTGACTATAAGCATTTTTAAGCCTTTGTTTAGGCTAAAAATCCGCAACTGGATACAGAGTAAAAAGTGTGTGTCTTGTTTTTAAGTCCCAAAAATGCTTGTATAATAAATCTTGCAGAGGTGTTTAAGAATTAGAATTCATTTGTCTTGAGAAGATGAAAGAAACTGAGACTGAATTGGTTCATACTGTAATGTAGATACAGATTACCATTAAAAATATTTAATCCTGAACAAACTGTAACTTTCCAACATGTGAAAGTTCCGTTGGTTTGTCCTTTGGGTCCTTTTGCTTTCAGAATTACAGTTTGTCATTGTGAATTTTACATTTTTAAAATAACTCCAGAGGAAAGTGGAACTGCTTGTTTCTGGAACAGGGTAAGTAAGTGGAGATCACAGAAAGACTCTTCACTGACTTGTCCCACTCAGAAAATAAATGCTTTGGTACATTTGGGGGCTTTTTTTTTAAATAGAAGTGTGAAAGTCCCCTTGCAGAAGTGATCACTCCTGTGAGTCCAACAGAAGTAGCAGAAGAAGCACCTTTTTTATTTGCTGGGAAATGTAAAATTTCTGGAAATTTTGAAACAAAGACAAATCTGTCTTCTAGACCCAAACCCAAGTGAATTTCAGGCTGGTTTAGCAATTGTCTACCATGCCAGGTTGCCAAATCACTGTGGAATCTGAGGAGACTTCTTAAAGCATATTATTACAGGGCATGGGAATCTGCTATTCAAAAAAGGACAAAATTTCCTAGTCTTTCTGGGTGGTTTTCTATATGTCTGCCATTTAGTTGCTGTGATGTGAAGTATTTGACACATAACTGGAATTGTTTTTATTTTATTTTTTCAAACTAGCTGGCTTCCTGAAGCTCAAGTTATTCAGAAGGCTCTGAATTCAGCTGCCAATAATGTATATCAGTATGGTCGAGAATGGATAACACATAAGGTAAGGGTGAGACCAGTTTTTTGATACCACTGTTCTGATAATAGCTTTAATTTTTTTTAAATTCAGTATCCCCTTATTTGATGGCACTAGTTGATTAGCAGTTTGCAAAGTCTCTTTTTGTAACCACATGCTATGGAAAAATGATTTGATATTCTTCTGCTACGGGGTGGGCAACTTCAGGGTTCTGGGAGTCACTTTGAACCCTCTGGAAGATTCCTCCCCTTCCCTTCAAGCCTGCCACCACCTATCAAATTTCATGAAAAAAGTCCAGTAAAAAATAAATTTGATATATGATGGGTTGAAAGTGGAGCAAGGACCTGCTTAAGTGGAGGAAGCTTCTCTGGATTCAGTCTAATGACATGCACCTATGACTAATTTGTACATTTAAGGTTTTAAGTTAGTTCATTTTCAAATCTTCCCTATCGACTGTCAAATAATGTTGTTGAACTAGATTTCCTGTTTGTGAAAGCACAGTTAATATAAGAAAACTTCCACGCTTAGCATATTTGGAGAACCTGCATCAGTCCCTACTCAAGTACTTTAATACTGAGCATATATCTATTTGTTTTGAACTAAAATAATGTACTCTGCAGGATTGATGTATCTAAATGTTCTAAATGCTGGTTGTTGTTTACATTGTTTTCTTTCTATTTTCATTCTCAGTGTGGTCCTATTCCCACTGACCGCTCACCTATTTTCTAAAAGCTGGGAAACCTGGAGAAGGTCTTCTGGGGAATATCTTAGTAACTAAGCAGACTTATTTGTGTGAAAGGTGACTCAGCATGGTCCATGATATGATTTCAACAATTTAGGGTACAATCTGATTGAGATGAGTGGGAGCCACATCTTCCCACTCTTCCTGTTCTGCATTTTTGCTAGATGACCATTTTTGGCTATCTAGCAGTAGTGTTTCAGAGCAGGAGGAAAGGAGGATAGAGTCTTGGCATCTCCAGTCTCTTTTCCTTCCTGTTTCTTGAAATGCCATTTTGGGGAATCAGAACTCTTGATTCCCAGCTCCAGCATCAGAATTGGAAATACTAATGGTTCGGAGGAGCTCAAGGGGTAAATCTCTATTTTTTTTCACTCTCCCCTTTCTTTTCTTTTTCTATTTTTCCTTCTTGTAATGCACACTCATTTGCTAGTAGGACTCCCTTGTTGACCTTCAGGAAAGACAGGAAAAATTGCATTCTGTTACAACACTTTCAGCAAGGTAAACTCAGAACCCCCTGGATGGGGTTGCACTTCCGCTAAAGGACAAGGTTCATAGTCTGAGGGTGCTCCTGGATCCTGAGCTCTCGCTGGTTGCCCAAGTGGACTCAATTGCCTAGAGCACCTTTTATCAGCTTTGGCTGATTTACCAACTACACTCGTACTTGGATGAGGGTAGTCTTGCCACAGTCATTCATGCACTGGTGACCTCCAGACTGGATTACTGCAATGCACTGCATGTGAGGCTTCTCTTAAAGAGAATCTGGACTCTTCAAATGATCCAAAACAGGGCAGCACAGTTGCTGACGAGAACTGTTTTTAACATATTACACTGATCCTCTTATGAACATGTTACACCGATCTTCTGTCGATTGCACTCGTTTTCTATTTCAGTCCAGGCTGAATTCTAGCTTTTGACGATGACATATAAAGTTCTAAAAGGCTTGCTTGCTTGCTTATTTATTTATTTATAATATTTTATCTATTTAAAATATTTATATCCCACCCTGTACACAAAAGCGTCTCAGGGCGGCTTACAAAAATCAAAACAAACAATCCAACAATTAACAATAATTAAAAATGTACATAAAACCAACAATAACATTTCAAAATCAGAACAAAATCAAAACAGAATCAAAAGCAAGAGCAAAATCAAAATCAAAATGCGACTGTGAAAAAGATTAAAACCAGATTAAAATCCTAACATTTAAAATGGTGGGCAAATAAAAAAGATTTTCACCTGACACCAAAAAGAATATAAAGTCAGTGCCAGTCAAACCTCTCTTGGGGAGTGCATTCCATAGTCTGGGTGCCACTGCAGAAAAGGCCCTCCTCTGGGTAGAAACCATCCTTACCTCTTTTAATGAGGGTTCCCAGAGCAGAGCCTCTCCTGCAGATCTTAAGGGATTCAAGGGCTTATGTGGAAGGAGATGTTCCTTCAGGTATTCTGATCCCAAGCCGTTTAGGGCTTTATAGGTTAACACCTGCACCTTAAATTGGGCCTGGACTTCATTCGGGAGCCAGTGAAGCTGACAGAGGACCAGCGTTATATGAGAATTGAAACTGGTAGTCATCAGCAATCTGGCAGCTCTATTTTGGACCAATTGACGTATCTGGACCTTTTTCAAGGGCAGCCCCACATAGAGCGCATTACAATAATCAGGAAGTTACCAGAGCGTGTGTCACTTTTGCTAGACTATGCTTGTCCAGGTAAGGATGCAGCTGATGGATCAGCTGGAACTGAAGGAAAGCACTCCTTGCCAACACTATCACCTGGGCCTCCAGGGACAATTCTGGGTTGAGGAGCACTCCCAATCTGCGGACCCTGTCCTTTAGAGGGAGTGCAACCCTGTCCAGGAGAGGGCCAAGATCACTTCTCTGAATACCTGAACTGCCCACCAGCAGGACCTCCATCTTATCTGGATTGAGTCTCAGTTTATTGGCCCTCATCCAGCCTATTATCTCAGCCAGGCATTGGTTCAGGACAGCCACTGCCTCACCTGGACTGGATGTAAAAGAGAGGTAGAGCTGGGTGTCTTCATCGTACTGTTGACTCCACAGCCCAAATCTCCTGATGACCTCCCCCAGCAGTTTTATGTAGATGTTAAAAAGCATGGGGGACAAGATGGAGCCCTGTGGTACTCCATGGCAAAGCTGCCATGGTGCAGAGCTGTAGTCCCCCAGCACTACCTTCTGGAATCGGCCAGCCAAATAGGAGTGGAACCAATGCCATGCAGAGCCTCCTACTCCTAACTTGGCCAGCCTGTCCAGAATGAAACCATGGTTGATGGTATTGAAAGCCACTGATAGGTCCAGGAGAACCAACAGGGATGCACTTCCCTTTCCTTTTCCCTGCATAGGGCATCGTACAAAGTGACCAAGGCAGATTCAGTACCATAACTGGGTCTGAAACCAGACTGAAATGGTTCCAGATAATCAATTTCAGTCTCGTCACCACCTGCTCCAACACCTTGCCCAAAAACAGGATGTTGGCCATCAGTCTATAGTTGGCAGCCACCTCTGGGTCCAGGGACGCCTTCTTCAGGACCCGCCCGATCATCCCTTCCTTTAAGGAGGCAGGGACCTGACCCTCCCTCAGCGGGGCGTTGAGGACCTGAGCCCAGGTTCCAGTCCCGTGTCTGGCTCTAATAAGCAGCAGTGAAGGGCAAGGGTCAAGTAAACAGGTAGTAGGGCATACCAGCCCAAGCACCTTGTCCACATCCTCATGCCGCAGCAACTGAAACTCATCCAATAATCATGGACCAGATGGAACTCTGGACACCTCTTGTTTTGGAATATTATTAACTGTGGAGTCCAGCTCGTGGCGAATCTGAGCAATTTTCTCCTTAAAGTGGGCAAAGTTGTCACAGTGGGCTGCTGATGGTGCCAGTAGATCTTGTTTTCGCCCGAGTGAGTTAGGACACACACCACCTGGAAAAGCTCCACTGGACGGCATTGTGAGGAGGCAATGGAAGTGTAGAAGAACTGCCTCTTCACTGCCCTCACTGCCACAGCATAGGCTTGATAGTGAGCTCTTAAGTGTGCTCGGTCAGATTCATCCCAGGATTTCCTCCATCTGTGCTCTAATCATCTCCCATCCTGCTTCATTGCCCGCAACTCAGGCGTATACCATGGTGCCGAGTGGGCTCTGTTGAACAGGACAGGACACTTAGGAGCAATTGTGTCGATTGTCCTGGTCATTTCCCTGTTGCACAAATTGACCAGAGCATCAACAGGAACGCCAGCTTTATCAACTGGAAAGTCCCCCAGAGGCCTCAGGAATCTATCTGGATCCATAAGACTCCAGGACAGACCATTTTAATGAGGTCCACACCCTTACAGAGGGAGAAGCCAACCCCGAGCTCAAACCTCACGAGGAAGTAATCTGACCATGACAAAGGAGTTAAAATCAAATTCCTCACTTCCAGATCACTGTCTTCCTGTCCTGTCGAGAAAACCATGTCCAGAGTGTGACCTCATTCATGTATTGGGCTGATGACATGTTGAGACAGCCCCATGGCTGTCATGGAAGCCATAAAGTCCTGAGCCACCCCAGTTAGAACAGTCTCAGCATGGAAATTGAAGTCCCCCAGGACCAACATCCTGGAGGTCTTCAACACCAGGTCCGAGATTATCTCCATCAGCTCAGGTAGGGAGTCTGATGGGAAGAAGGGTGCACGGTACACCAACAGAATCCCTAATCTGGCTTGGTTGCCCAACACCAGGTACAAGCATTCTAGACCCGGACTGTAGAGGACAGGGAGCCCTGCAAGGAAGAATGAGTCTCGATAAACCAGGGCGATCCCTCCGCCACCATCCCCTTCCCCCTGGACCTGGCTGGTGCTGCACCAGATACCTGGGCAGGTATAATTGGATAAGGGAGACATCCCCCCATTTCCCACTCTGGTCTCTTTAATACAAGCCAGGTCAGCCTTCTTATCCACAATTAAATCATGGATGAGGGATGTTTAAGGACTACATTATCTTAGGGAGCGCCTTACTTTATACATTTCTGCCCATTGTTTAAGATCAGGGGTCTCAAACTCAACTTACCTGGGGGCTGCTGGAAGTAGAGTCTGGGTGAGACTGGGCTGCATCAAGTATTCCACCACCACGGTGGTGGTGGGCCGCTCATCCCATGGCCGGCCCGGGTGCCGCTGGCGCTTTGAAGGCCGCAGGGCCCCTCCCCTGTGCCCCGCCCGTCCCAGCATTTGGCCCGCGGGCTGCGAGTTTGAGACCCCTGTTTAAGATCATCAGTGGAGGACCTTCTAGTTTCCTCTTCCTAGGAAAGTTGAGGAGGGCCTTTTCTGTGGAGGCACGCCAGTTGTGGAATACTTTGCCATGGGAGATTCGTCAGGTTTCTACTTTGCCTCCTCTTCTTTATGCACTACTTCTGTTCTAGTTGGTTGTTAAAGCAATTTTATAACTAAGAACTAGACCTGAGTTTGTTTTTCCCTTCCTCTCTCCTAATCATTTTTCCTTTATTAAAAAAAACAACTTTCCCCCATGTCCTTTATTGTTACAAACTTGAGAATAGGACTATCTTAGTTTTTGTAAGCCACCCTGGGAGTCTTATTTCAGTTGAATAGGTAAAATGCTTCAAATAAAATAAATATTTATTAGCCCCAGGAAGGGATAGGAACAACTTGCTCAACCTGGCAGCTAGTGGTTCCTGTAATCTACATTTTTACAGCCTTTGCAATAATGTTAGCAGTGTTGGAGATGAAAGGTCTTTTTGCAGGTAACAAATTTTAGTTAAATGTACATCAACTGCTATTGTATTCTTTTTTCAGCTGTTTTAGCATAAAACACCCTTTTATGTTTTATAGCTCCATAAAATATTAGGAGATAAAGTGAACAACACTGCTGTGATTGAAAAGCAAGTTCTGGAGCTGTGGGACAGATTATATCATTCTTGGTTTGTAAAAGTAAGTGCTGTAGTCACATTTCCAGTCCACTAATTCAAAGTAAATTTAATACTACTAATATGATTGATCGTGGTTATAGAACCTGTAACAAAGTAAGTCTCTCTGGTTACAGATATCACGTGTCTAAATAAATCTGGCTTTCTGTGCTTATTTGCACATGAAGGGAATTGGGTACAGGGTGCATTTTCATCCTGGTTATAATCCTAGGGGCAAATTGAAGTATGAACAAGACATGAGAGTACTATTTTAAGTAGAGTTCACACCAGGCATTTAATTTCCTTTGCAACTAAATGTATTCTCAGAAAATCCAATCCAAATAACGTTCTGTGAGTAGAAGTTAATGTTTCTCCTTTAATTGATAGAATGTAACTCATCCGGGAAGACACAAAGGACAAAAGCAGCATTTAAGCCGTCAGAACAGTTGGCCAGGTGACCTGCTTGATTGGCAAGATGTTGCCTCATTTGTTCATGAGAACATTGAGACTTTTCTTTCCGTATGTATCTTTCATAATAACGTAAGAAAAAACATTCTCTATAGAGGAGGATATTACCAGTTTATTCCTGACGTGCACTGAAGTACATAATTTCTCATGGTGCTTATGCTTTTTGTGTCCTTAAGACACTATTGAAACTCTTTTCTGCAAGCCTTATCAGAAGCACTCTGTGTGTGATTCATGATCTAGCTTATAATATTGTCTTATCCTGTCCCTTTTGCTGGATTAATTTATTTTCTATGTTCCATTTTGTGCTTCCTTTTAGAGTTTTCTCTGTCATTCTCTGTGATCTAAATATTGTTTTCTACCTGCCTTAAAAAATCCTTAGTCAATGTTTTTAATCAAGTTTGTCAATTGAGTTTGCAAGATTTTCTAAATTTCTCTGAAGCCAGGTTGTATCTACTGCATTCTTGAGATTCTCATGCGCAAGTCTAGACTAGTAGCCACTCACGCAATGCCTTTATTTTTTTTCCCTAAAAATAGATCCAAAGTTATATACATTGTGGTAATTTTCTGAAAAATGTTTCATGAATTCAGAAAAACTCATCTTATTTGTGCTGAGCAAGCATTATAGAGTGAATATTAGACTTTGTCATTCCCGGTAGTGTTGTTTCAGTATATTTTTCAGTCACTCTGCTATTTCTAATATGGAGAAAATACTAGGATATTTAAGCAATAAGGTATACTGCTGCAGGTATTGATGCCAGTAGTAATGCTCCATATCAGTCCAAAGTATTGTATACCAATGGTACTTTTAACTGTCTTGCCATCTAGCCATTTCAGGCATCCACTCTACTCTCTTACAGATCATGGAATCCCTCTGGATAGTAATGAGTCACAATGTGAGCCTCCTGTTCACCACAGTTACAACTTTAGTAACTATCCTTTTCCACAGTGGTACTGCTCTTCTCAATTTTGTGCTTTCACTGGTAAGCATTCTTTCTTTTTCATTATTATGCTTTACATTTTTGTATAAGGTAATTTGTTTTATGTTCTTTATCTGTTTTATAGAGGAGCTGCCATATAAGAAATTAATAACCAATGTAGGTTTGGTAGCATGGTTGGTTTTTTGCACAAATGTGTGTTTAACCTGTTCTTTACATATTTTCTTAAAGCTTCTCAGAAGTGACAAGTGCCCCTCACTTCCATATCCACCAGAACATCCACTTTGTAGTTTTACAGAAGATAGCAATGGTGACAAGGATTAGATAATTTGTTGGAAAAAACAAGAGTTGGTTTTTCCAACTCAACCTTTTCTTTAATAGAAAAAAAAGAAAAGAAAACAGAGTTGGGAAGAAAATGCACACTGAGCCACACTACAGGTTGCCCATGTGTGCTTTTGCCTTTGAATTTGTTTTGTGATTCTTGGGGAGGGCTTGTTGAATCTTCATAAAAGGTCCAGAGAGCCCCGACCTTGACGAAATCTATCATGAGATTAGGGTTCTTTTGTAGTTTCTTGGACACTTGGCTATCACTACAAACTGCTCCCAGCCCATTCTTGATGAGGTCTTGTTGAACCATATCCACAGTGCTAACCCAGAACATGTAGGGGCTGTGAGAAAGTCACATGCTGATAACTCAAGCTTTTGCTTATTTTAGTGAAACTGAGCCTATTTCAAACTGATAATATGTTGCAATAAGAGCTATTCATTTATTTTTACTTTTCTAGCTTTTACTTTGTCAATTTGCTTCATACGGGTTTCTGTGAGCCCTCAGAGAAAGTTATGCTTTCTGTTTGTGAGCTCATAGTATACAAAAGGGTACTCATTTATTGTACTTCTAGTTATTTATCTATAGATGCTGGAGCTCTGGTCAGTTCTCTGAAATATTCATAGGAGCCAGGCTTTTGGGTGCTGAAAATCAAACTATATAGTGGATGCTTTATGGAAGCAGGGTGGGGGTGGAGTGTACATGACTGTAGCAGTTTCTGTAGTACCAGAAACTGCTTTGAACTCAGCCTTTTACAGTTTCTCTCCTTTGCAGGTCTCTGTTATAACAGGTGACTAGATCTGTGCTATGCAGAAAGTGCTAGAGCCACAGGCTTCCCAAGTGGTCATCCTGGTTGGAACCTGTAACCTGGTTTGCACATAATGCTAACCTTTGCTTTATTTAAACCATGGTTTCTTGCCCTACTCAGAGTCTGTGAGTTGTTTCTCTCCTTTGCACACTCCTTTTGTTTTGCCCAAACACATTTGTTATGCTGTAGCACTGGCATTTAGAACAGTTGTATTTTTTTTTTTTTTTTTACTTATCTTGCTTTCTGTTTATGTAGTTCTGGGTTTACACATAATGACAACCCATGGTTTAAACAATCCAGAGTTCACAATCCAACAGCAACCCATGAGTTCTCTTTAGGGGTTTTTGTAGTTAACAAATCATGTTTGTTAGTGCACCTGGGTTTGCGCATCACAACAAACCCAAAATTCAACAATGCTTTGGCTAGTGCTATGTGTGAATGAGGTCATCATCTCCTGGTTTTTGTCATCTGCTGTGCATTGCAGACAGTCCAGTTAGTCTTCACTCTGACATCACTGTGAAAGTAACGGAGAGCCTTGACACAATATTGGCCTGAAATAAAAGCTAACTTTTTCTTGCCTTTCTTATCCAAAGCCACCAAGTGTTCTTGTTTATACAACTAATGGCACACTACCCAATATTAGTACATGGCCTCAGAAGGTTAGCTATGAGGGAATGCATCCTTCAGAATGATAAAAAAGTTTCCAACCCCCAACCAAGATCAACTGAAAGATATCTTGCTTTGGGAAAGGGATAAATTGCAGCAAAGGAATTTTAAGTAACTTCAAGAAATGCAGCTGTTTAGTAATCTGTCTATCTAAAGGAAAGTGGGACCTGCATTTTCACTGGCACATTTGTGCACAAACTGTATTCTTCTGAGTCCTATCTATGCCACTGCAGTAGTGTTTGGTAGCTAAAACTACAGAGACAGGGTGAACTGCATAAATCCTTCTCAACCAGTAATTCTTCCATTTGAGCAATGACTGAGTGGGAGGGGCCTATATGCATGTGTCTTGCCCAGTAAACATTACTGTAGTGAGGTAGGAAGAAGCTATGGGAGAAGCTCCACCTAGATTGTTTTGTTAATGTCTAAAAGGCCCCTGAAAATATGAATGCATGCATGGTATTTATGCAGTTTATTGATATAATTCTGGAAATGCTAAGACCAAGTAGCACATTAAACTGGAGATTCCAAATCTTAAGCTAATGACACCCAGTGTATAAAATGGTTAGGGGTGGGAAGACAAAGAGTTCTATACCTCCAATTTCTCTCACTTGAGATGATAGAACTTTTTGTCATAGTCATATGTTTATAAGGTATTAATGACATATTTACTGTGTTCTGCCAATATGTGCATATTTACTAGCAGCCTTCTTTAATATCTGTCTATGACAGGATTTTCTTTGTAGAGTATAAGTACGTATTTTTGTGAGGAGAAACGTTATAGCAAAGTTGATTCTTCCTACATTCATAAGAGTAAATCCTCATCGGTTTACTCAGTAAATTACATTTTTGGCACCATGCTAGTTAGCTGAATTTTCCATGCACAAAGGTTATTTATGCATCTCATAATGATTTTCCATTTCAATTCACGCACAACTATGGTAGAAATGTTTAGAAAGTACTAATTCATAGCTTTAGCCATAATATTAAGATATTCTAAAGAATTTTAATTCAAAATATTTTGTTTTTGTGATGCTAATGAAGTAGTTTTAGTCATTCTTGTTTATTTCCTAAAGTATATTCACATGAAGACCTTTTAAGCACATTTTAGTATGTGATTTTAAATAAAAGCTTTTATTGGCAGGAGTAGAACAGTGTGTGTGTGTGTGTGTGTGTGTGTGTGTGTGTAGTATATTATGTATATGTTACTTAACAATGTTAGAGGTGATTTCTTTACATTTCAGCTTTGTGTTATGACAGCTGCTATACTTGTGAGCAATCTAATGACTGGAATAGAGCCCCAAGGCTTGTGATTACCTAGTTCTCAGATAGAGAGCTGGCTTATGTCAAGGGTACCTGCTTGGATATATTTTGAGGGTTTAAAAATAAAAAGACACAAGGACTGACCTTGCCTGAGAGCCTAGATTCATCGTAGGTTTTGCTGTATGAATTAAAAAGAAAAAAATTCATTTCAAATGCTTTGCTAAAAAATAAGGGCTTCCCACCACTGTTAGTTCCATTAGTTGAAAAAGGACTTTTAAAAGAATGAATAAAACATCTGCCCATTGGGTTGGACAATTTAAAAATAATAGACCTTTAGACAGATTGTGTACCTTTTTGCCTATATTACAAAATACAGACTAGTGACAATGGGTCCTTTTAAGTCTCTGTTGAAAGGCAGTATAGTGTAGTGGTTAGAGTGTTGGACTGGAATCTGGGAGATCTGGGTTTTAGTTTCATTTGGTCAGAAACCTATTGGATAACTTTGGGCCAGTTACTGTTTCTCAGCCTAACCTGCCTGACTGGTGACGGCAAGATTGAGAGGAGGAGGAGGAAAATTGTGTAAGCTGCCTGAGCTCCTTAAAAGAAACATTGTGGGATATAACTGTTAAATAAATAAATTGTATAGTATAAGTATTTCTTTTTTAATTAGAAATGTGAAATGTAAATCAAAACACCCCCTCCCCCCATGTGTGTGTAAAATGCATGTACTGAAATCTATCTTATAGTCTAGGGCCGTTGCAGTAAGCAAAGTATTAACTCTGATTACTGCTCTGTGCTTGCCTTAAAAATAAAAATTAAAAATAGGTATCTATTTGCAAGAGCAGGAACTTCTGCAAATGCATCATTCACTCACACCCCATTAATACCAATTGTGAGAGCAAAGAAATTGTGCCACAGTTTTAAAAAGTGTTCCTTTATACTGATGTTTCTGCAGAGCATCTTCAGTATATCATCTGACTAATATTTCCTTGGATAGCAAAGATTCATAAAAGAGTAAGAAAAAGTTTTGGAACCCTCTTGGCTAGATAAAGCAACTTGGTGACATTCCTTTTGTAAGATTTTAAAGATGGGGCAAGTAACCTTAAATTTTCCACCCACATTTGTCTAAGTGTGCTAAAACTTGTTATATATATATATATATATATATATATATATTCCTATGGTTTTATATTTCTCTGCTATTTTTTTATATTCCTATGTTTTTATATCTTTCTGTTAGCCAAAATTTGTCTTGGAAACCTATGACTTGTACCACAAAAAACTTACAATAGCCATTTTCCTGCCAAGGATGCTGCCTCCCAATTTCTGCATTTTTTGATCCATTCTTATTTTTTAAAATGTGTAAACTTACCACTTGCCACTAACTAAGAGAGGCATGGCTATACAATCACATATATTTCCTAATGGTAGCTTTTTGTAGAAATGTTGTTACGTTAAAATTCATTCACTGAAATTCAAAATTAGAGGTAATGGAAGCAGCACATAAAAGTGATGGATGTATCAGATTTATGCAGGAATTTATGTTGTTGTCAGTAGTTTAACCTACTCATCTTATGGATTCTGGACTTGATAAATTTTTATCTAATGAGACATGCTGAAAATCATCATGTGGAAAAGAAACAGATATAAATAAGAGGGAGAATGCACAAACTAAAAGCCCTCACATTGCCTCCATGCAACATGTGAACAGTGACCCTGTGATGGGCCCTTTACCAGCCCTGATACCCAGGGTACTCTTGCCTTTCTGACTTGTGGGGCTAGCTATGCCCAAGAGTCCCATTTAAAGCAGGGAAGACTTATGGGAAGAGCAAGGATACATTTCAGATTGATTGACTGATTTCATTTTATACCAGCCAAAAGGCTTTTCCCAAAAAAGATTTTGGAAACAGTTTCTCAATTAGTATTTTAATGTCTTATAAACAGGATTTGGATTGTATCTACTAAGCTAAATATCACTGTATTCCATTCTCAATTGTATATTAATGACTCAAAGCAGATTTGCACTGTTTTTGCACAATACTCTGTTTTTTGTTTAAAAGCAACAATGTGAATCTATTTTCTTTTTGCCTGTCTTTTAGGTGATTTTTCTGACCACATTGTTCTACCTTTTAAGTTCCAGTGATGAATACTATAAGCCAGTAAAGTGGGTGATCAACTTGACCCCTTTGTCACAGCCAGCCCCTTCTTCAAATATAGTTGGCCAGTCAGTGGAGGAGGCCATAAGGTACGCTATTTATTTCTTTCTAGTCATGGAAACCTTATAGAAAATATGAAGATTTTTGTATGGTTTCTGAAGAGTCGTGTTCTGTTAATGCATTTTAATGCCAGAGATAAAACAAAGCCCCTTTAGCACCTGCAGATAGGCCTTTAATTTTCAGAAGTTTTCCAGGCTGAAGAAACCCCAAGTCAGTCAATGTAGAATGGGGTGGTCCAACATGCAGCCCGCACGTTGCACATGGCCCCTGAGGTCTTGCTCTGCGGCTCTCTTGCCTCTCAGAGCTCCCCATTGCCCCCCCTCCCTGCCCAGTCTGGATCCCCAGTCATGATTATGGTGAACTCTGCTGAGGCCGTCAGCCCATCCTTCTCTCTTTCTGAGGCTCAGGAAGAGAGTGGTTGAGCTGATGACCTTGAAAGATCATACCAGCATGTCCCACGCCACTCCAGCTTATGAGTGCAGAGGTGCTCAGGAGCAAGCAGAACGTGCTGGAGAAAGGTCATCAGTTCAAGTACAAGAGGCTCAGTGAACCAATTCCAAGAAGAAAATAGGCAGTGAGGGGATTCACCTGGGAGGGTAGGTGGGTGGGGGAAACAGGGAAGAAAAGGGTGGCTACCCCAGAAGAGTGGTCATTGTGCTTGGGGCTGTGGTCGGAGAAGGAGCAGCCAGTGATCTCTGCAGAGTTCACAGACCCACAAAGCGTTCTTTCTCATTTGGTCCTAAAATCAATTAAATTAAATATATTGTATATATTAAATTAAATGAATATATTGCAAACACTTTAATTTATAATATGGAAATGTAATTCATTGTGCACCCCTCAAGTTCCATGTTGAAGTCTTCATGTGGCCCTCGAGGTACAAAAAGTTGGACCACCCTAGTGTGGAGGATCTGGACATACAACACTTAACTATGCGAGGGTAGAAGGTATCAGTCCCCCAGAGGTCTTGGACTGTTTGACTTTTGGAGGAGGGGAAAAAACATTTTAAGCCCTACCACCACTAAGGATTTTTTCTTAACTTTGCTTGTGTGCTGCTTACAACTGCACATATTTCAGTGATCCAAAGCTTTGCTGAAATTCCTGAATAAGTGGATCAGTGTCTTGTAATCTGCAGTAGTAGATTGTGAGGGGCTTGATGTTTGCCATGCAAAGTATCTTGTATAATACCGATATAGTGGATATCTGTTAAATGGAGGATTAAAACAAAAGAGAAGAGGAGGGAGGATTCAGAATATTAGGAAGGAAAAGCAAAGGAGTAATCATGTACGGTGGTACCTTGGCTCATGAATTCCTCAGTTCATGACCAAATCAGGGCAGAACAGAAATTTTATAAAGATTTTGCCGCAGGTCGCGAACATTGCATCGGGTAACGATCGTGAGCGCACCCCATCTTCCCCCCAGTGTGCCACGATTGCGCCAGTCTCCCCCAGCGTGCCCACGATTGCACCTGTCTCCACCCCAGTGCACCCACAATCACACCCATCTCCCCACAGCACTCCCATGATCGTGCCCGTCTCCTCCCCGAGCGCACCTGTCTCGCCCCCAGCATGTCCGTGATCACGATCGTGCCCGTCTCCCCCCCATGATTATGCCCGTCTATGGCCGCGATCGCAGTCGCGCTTGTGCAGGGATGACGGGCGTGATCGCGGTCATGCTGGTGGGGGGAGATGGTGGAGTTCGTGCTCAGGGTGGTGGGGGAGATGGCTGCGATCTTTGTTTGCCACTTTGCTTCAAATTTTTGTGATTAAAAAAAAAAAAAGTTATAGAACAGATTAACCTTATTTACACTGATCCTTATGGGGAAATTTGACGTGGCTCACAACCAATTTGAGTCACGACCAGAGTCCTGTAAAAGATTAAGTTTGTGAACCAAGGTATCACTGTATTAGGATAGTAATATGTATCAGAGAGAAAGAGTGGAATTAAATGAGACTGTCAGTTACTTTGAAAGATATCCTAAAAAACTTGGCAAACATATTTGGGATTTATAGTCCATACTTTTCCAAGAGCTTGGTAGGTATAGAGCACTTTAGACTTGTTCATATAATCATGGAGGGAGGAAATAAGCTCTCTGCCCCCAAGCCTTACAATATAAAATAAACTTAAAATAAAAGGGGAGAAACTGTAATATCAGCTCCCTTGAGTTACCTAACCAACTTCCTTAATAATTAGTTGATTCCTTCATTTCTTTGCCTGCATGCCATACCCTTATATGCTTAGTTTTCATCAACTCCAAAACATCTTTTTAAAAAAGATCATTCTTCCGAAACATCCAGCTCTCACTTTTTACTCAAGTCAATTGTAACTATTTATTTATTTATTTAAAGTATTTATATGCCGTCCTGTCGCAAAAGCCTCAGGACAGCTCACATAGATAATACAATAAAAAATAACATAGATAAAATTATTGATCCACACTGGCTGCAATAAAAAGATATAAGGCATGATATTAAAACTTATTAAAATATAAGTTTAATATTTTAAACTAATAAATGTTTGCATAAGATCTTGTCTACTGCTGGAAATCCATTTATATTCCAAATACTTGCCTTCTCTCCCCATTCAGTGTTTTATTTAGCATCTGTTCACCAATCTATAATTTTACTTTACAAACTTCTGTCTTGGAACACTTTATTTCTGTGGTACCCAACAGCCAGTGCTCTCTGAGCTATTTCTGTTTAGAGAGATAATGTCTTGTAAATCTAACAAATTAATTCCAAGTAGTATTTCATGTTGAAGCATGTCCTTTTCTACTCTGAACAGGGGAAAATAATTTGTGAACAATACTACCAGGTGAATGAAAGAATATATGTCTGCTTGCTGTGTTAAGGCGTATCTAAAATATTCCTTTTATAATCTAATGACCAGTTTATTTAGTGCTGATAAATACAATTAGTCAAAAGCTAATGGCAGTGTCTACAGAGTGGATCTATTGAAATCTTTGGAATGTAGGTTAATCATAACTAACTTAAGTCTGATTGACTCACTTAAATTTCATGGATTTCAGCAGTTTTGCTTAAGTGTGGATCCAGCACAATATTTTTAGTACTTTTCTTTATTATTATATAAAGGATGGCATACAAAAGCTTTCAATAAATAAATAAATAAATTTTATGTATGAGTATTGATCTTCAGTTTCCAGATCTATAAGGCAATAGATCAAGTGTTGATCTGCTTGTGCTGACATAATAGCAGTTTTTCAAACAGTCATCTTTTGCTGACTTTAGGGAATTAATCGTTCTAGTGCTCCTTATGGAATAAAATTGCAAACTGCAGTGCAGAGGCTAACTCAGAGTTAACAATTGTATTAGAGTTTCGTTGGGCTATTTTCTGAAATCTGAAATATTGCTTCCATGTTTGCAATATTTTTAACTACCTGAGTCAGAAAGATTTGTAGGTTCAGTCCTAACACATGAGAACAATCTGAAATTCAAGCAAATTGGAAGCGTGTGTGTGTGAGAGAAAGGCCTCATCTCTAGCTATTGTGCATTTATACTTATTTGTTTGTATTCAGGCAAATTAAAATATAAAATGGTTCCTTTCATGGCTAGACCAGAGGTTGGTTGCCTGAATGGCAGGGTTTCAGTGATATGTTCATCTGGGTCATAGAGATGAAATACTTTCATGCATGTTGATATAAAATAGGAAGCATGCAAGACTGTAGGACCAGCATGTCTCTGCATGTGCCTCAGGCAATGAAAAGCTTGCCTACTCATCCCAGTTCATCTTATTCACTCTATGGGCTAGTGGAATATGAGAAAATTGCTTGCTTAATGCCAGAAGAAAGACTGAGTGTGTTTGTTTTGTAAATAAGATTATGAGTAGGCTTTTGAAATAGGCACCATAGTCTCCTTACTATTCAAGCAAGGGTACTGAAGACATTGCCTTATGTTGGAGGACCCAAAAGAAGCTAAATTTGTGTCCAGATTTGCTAACCATCTCTAGAAAGTTCAAGACTCATGTATCTGCTGCGTAATACTAGAGAGAGAGGGTGGGATGGGGTGGGGGAGATAGAACGAGAACTGAAATGAGGTGTACTAGTACAAAATACTGAGAGTTTGGAATGAATTGATGGAGCACCAGACAGGTTACTGGCTGTTGATTAAAGTATTCAGGCATAAACCCTTAACTGTGATTGTTCTAGTGATAGCCACTCATCTTAGTTGCTTCCTTGTATAAATGAAGTAGCCTTGATAGTGTTTTTCTTAAAGCTAACCGGGAAGCACCTAACCTGTCTTGTTTTCTACACAACTGAAGCAGAGATCATTGAATTTATGTATCTTTCAGTTGCATGCACACCTTTTGCCTGAACCATTGTCTTCCCCCTAAGTGGCATGTTCTTCTCTTCCTGAATGCACCAGACCCTTCTTCCCTGAAGCTCCCATTCTGCTTGCTCTGGTGGGGATATTGCACATTACTAAGTTGCATGTTGTCACGGCCTCAGTGCAATTTAGTGTGTGTGATATTTTCACATGAGTGCATGCCTACAGGTATGGCTGTGGCTTAAAGTTACTGCAAGTTACTTTTCTTTATGAGGATGCATTAGTTCTGAAATAGGCTGCACTTATATCAGCATTTTTGTCTTGAAACTTGTTAGCTAGTGTTCAAAATTTCAGAGTAGTTTTCTGTCTGAGAAAATTTTATTGCTTGATTCATTTTCTTCATCCATCAGATAAACAATTATCTCAGTGGGCAGAGTTACCTTTGAGTAATTCTTTAATGAACTGTTTCCAAAACACTTTTGTAGATTCATTTCCCTAACACCAAGTTGTTTATTTGCTAAGGAATGTTTGATGAAATCTGGTAACTTGATTACCAAATCTATTATGATTATCAGGCCCCTGTGGTTATTGAATAAACATTGAAAAATGATGATGGAACTTATATAGCACTGTGATCTCCACAGAAAACAATTTGCCTTCTAGCAAAATCATATCTTAAACAATTAATATGCAAAGGAAAACAACAGTGACCACTTGACTGAAATGTTAACATCATTTAACAGGTT